CCCCTTAGAATCCCCCAGTGAGGGGCTGGGGGTGTGACTCAGAGGTAGAACACCTGCCTAGAATCTCCCAATAAGGGGCTTAGGGGCATGGTCCAGCTGTAGAGCACCTTTCTAGAATTGTCCAGTGAGGGGCTGGTTTGTGGCTCAGCTATAAAGCATCCACCTAGAATCCCGTAGTGAGGTCCTGAGGGCGTGGCTTAGTGGTGAGTATTTGCCCAGTATGTTTCAAGCCCTAGCTTCTCCCTCCAATACTCGGGGGGCAAAAAAATACTCAGAATTAATCCAGTGGTTGTGTTTACCTCCTGGAGATTCTCAGGTAAGAAGATCCAACATTTGAGATCAGGCTAAACCATCTCAACCCTTCCCCTCAAAACAGCAAAACAAAACCAGAAACAACAGATGTACTCAGGAGGCAGGTGTTAATGATGCCGACCTGTTCTCTCCCACTCTGGCCCAGCATGTGGAAGTTGGAGGAGGTTGTGAGAGGTTCTGATCCTATCCCTGTCCTAAGTTCAGGGATAATAAATAGCAAAGCTCTCATCTCCCCCTTCTCTCTTTGGTGCTCCCTGCTTCCTGTCTGCCTCACCCTCACCTCCCACATATATACCCAACTTGCTCAGCCAAGACAGAGGGCACTAAGGAAGTCAAGCTGCGTAGTGGGTATGAAGCCTGGTACCCTACATGAAGTACAGGAGAGCTGCTGTCTGTCCCACTCAAATCCAGTGGGGACACTAACCTGGGTTTCATGGTGGAGTTCAGCACCCTGAGGGAGATACAAACAGATTCCTGCAGGTTCCAGGGCATGGAGCGGGTTGGTGGAAAGCTGTGGAAGCTGCTCTGCCCACTTAGCACTCCACTACAGCAGCTCACCAGGTGGATGTGAGGGATGTGAGACTCAGTGTAGAGTTTTCTGCCATCAATTTTTTTCCCTTTGCAGCAGTAGTTATAGTACCCAGAGTTCTACAGCAGAGCCACACCCTCAGCCCTCACTGGGGGATTCTAGGCAGCTGCTCTACCACTGAGCCACACCCCCCTCACTGGGGGATTCTAGGCAGCTGCTCTACCACTGAGTCACACCCCAGCCCCTCCCTGGAGGATCCTAAGCAGGTGCTGTACCACTGAGCCACATCCCCAGCCCCTCACTGGGGGATTCTAGGCAGGTGCTGTACCACTGAGTCACACCCCCAGCCCCTCACTGGAGGATTCTAAGCAGCTGCTTTACCACTGAGTCACACCCCCAGCCCCTCACTGGAGGATTCTAGGCAGGTGCTCTACCACTGAGCCACATCCCCAGCCCCTCACTGGGGGATCCTAGGCAGGAGCTCTACCACTGAGCCACATCCCCACCCCCTCACTTGGGAATTCTAGGCAGGGGCTCTACTTCTGAGCAACATTCCCCAGCCCAGCAACATTTTTTCCCTTTTTTCCTTTTTGAGATAGGGTCTCCCTGAGTTCATGATCCTCCTGCCTCAGCCTTCTTCATGCTGGGATGGCAGTCATGTACCACCGGACCTTGCTGCAATGTTAACCTTTGAGAGCATTGAGGGTACAGATAGACCTCTGGGTAGCATTAGGTGGCAGTCCCTCCTCACACAGTGCCCACCCGGAAGTGAGGAGTCTCAAAACCATCTTCCTCCTCCCCTTCCTCCTCCCTTCTTCCAATTAGTCACCCTATAAGTTCTGGTTACTAACCCATGTCCTGGGTCTTCCTGGTACCTTCACCCCCAGATGTGTGCTCTTGACTCTGTCTCCTCTTTTTCTCTTACCCTCCTCTCTCCTCAGACACCCCCCAGGCCTCCAGAAATGTGGGTCCACTGGTGGGGGGAGTTGTGGGGGGGACATTCCTGGTGCTACTCCTGGCTGGGGGGGCCTTGGCCTTCGTCCTACTGAGGGGGAGGAGGAAGCGGAAGAGCCCTGGAGGAGGAGAAGGAGGAGGAAATGACGATGACGACAGAGGATCCTACGACGTGAAGACTCAGATGTTTGGGAACGGGGGTCCTGTCTTCTGGAGGTCCACAGCCCCTGAGCCAGTGAAGGCAGATGGCAGGGGTGAGGAGGAAGAAGAAGAGGAAGAAGAGGAGAAGGCAGAGGAAGGCCTCATGTTGCCTCCATCTGGGTCACTTAAGGACGACATGGAATCTCATCTGGATGGCTCTCTCATCTCTCGGCGGGCAGTTTACGTGTGACCACAGGACACAGACACTGGACACATAGAAATGCCAGCTCCTACCCCCAACTGCTAGCCAGCCACCAGAGGGTTTGGGACTGGTTGGACTGGTTTTTCTGGCACTGGAACTGGACTGGCACCTCTCCCCCCACCCCCTTCTGGATGGAGCACAGGTGAACCACACACTGGAACTCTCCCATCTCCAGGGCCTCATGGGGAAGGAGCCCCTAGGAGCTCCATGGTGCAGACTCAGGACTCCTCTGAGGTTCCTTTTGGCCCCAGCCTGGCCCTGGCCCCCCCGGAAACACTCAGGAGCTAATAAATGCCTTGTCAGAAAACCTTGGGGGTGTTTTATAATGCATCAGACTTCCCCTCTTTGGGTCCTGGGGAAAGAGGGTGGGATAGGGACCACTTGGTTCCAGAAAGAACTGGTTCCCAGAGGGTCGAGCAGCTTGATGGAGTTCAGACCATTTGGCTGCTGGAATTTAGAACGAGGTCCCTGACTTTGGGGCTCAGAGACACAGGGTAGAGGAGGGGGCTTTGAACTCTTGGGTCCCAGGACAGAGATGTGTGGCCAGATCAGTGAGTTGAGAGCTCCCTGGGAGAGAGAGAGAAAGGCTGGCTACTTTGATCCATGGACCCTCCTGTGGGGATGGCAGGGGCCAGAGCCCCAGATTCCAGATCCTAAAGATCTGACCCTACAGGAGACCATGCAGATCGATCCCTGTCTCTGTTGGAGAGGGTCTCCATTCTTGGGGAAGCTCAGGGTTATCAGGATAAGTGCTGAAGATACAGGCATGGCATCACCACAATGCCCTTGAAACAGCTCTTCCCTAGCATCTTACTCCCACCTTCCCAGCAGGGTTTGGTCCCTAGGGAGTTCTCAGCAATGAGCATCACCCCCAGTTCCTTTAGCTTGGTGACTGAGGACAGGGAGTGTCTTGCTTCTAAGAATGGGAAGAGGCAGGCTTTATCCCCCTCCCCTGTGACTTCCCACAGAGTTCCCATGGCCTTTTGGGTCTGTCGTGCAATCAGGTGACACCCTCTGGGTGGGTGGATCAGCCTGGAGGCCTGGATATATGTACTTCCTCAAGCATGTGTCTGCCATGCTGTGGACACAACGGTGGCCCAAATCACAGAGCCCTGTGCATTCTGGGCTTTGTCAGTAACAATGACAGGAAAAGCCAAGTGGTGTGGCTGTGTGTGCACTGAACACCAACAAGCCAGTTGAACCACCCCTGCTGGAGCCTTCTGGAGAAGCTCAGCTGGGGACCGGAAGCTGAGACCAGATGCACATCGAGTCCCCTGGGCAGCTTCCTTTCCACATGTCTGGATGCAGGTTGATATCAGCCCCTATGAGGCTTCCCTTTCTCTCAGCCATGGCCATAGGAGGGCAAGATGGGCAGTTTGCTGTTTTTCTCTCTGCACACGGTGGGTTCTCAAGTGCCATCTGAGCCCTCATTAGATGCCTTCTGTGTACCTGTCCTGGGGCATTCAGTCTAGGGAGGAAACAGGCCTTTGCTACAGGAACTACGTCATTAGGAGAGGCACACAGAATGATTACAAATGGGAAGTGACACAGATGTGAGGCCGGGGTTTCAAAGCCATGAGCTCTCCTCTCATTAAAGAATACGGCATTCCCCATAACCAGTGAGGGGTTTTTCTATACTATCTCCCCAGCTCTACCTCTCAGTCAACCTTCCAGATCCTTCCTTCATCTCTCTCTGCTCCAGCCTGTATCCTTGCTGTCTTTGTTCAGTTTCTTTGTTTTTTGAGACAGTGTCTCATGTAGCCCAGGTTGTCCTCCTTAAACTCCATGTGTAGCTGAAGATGAACTTGAACTTCTGTTCCTCTTGCCTCTACCTAGTTTGTTTTAGAGTCTGGTCTCAAACTCGTAATAATTCTCCTGCTTCAGGTTCTTGATTGCTGGGATTAGAGGTGCATGTGAGTTCCATACCTGGCTCTCCCTGTTCCTTAAAAATACCCTGAAGCTGCCTCAGGGTCTTTGGCCTGGCTGTTTCTATGCCTGCCATGCACTCAGGTGGCTCAGATGTCCCTTCATAGATAAGGCCTGTCGACTTCTGTGGATCCACATTCCATCCCTTCCTTGTCCCTTTTCTACTCTGTATGTTTGTCCAGTTCCATCTTCAATTCCTGTTTGACATCAGACATCACACCTGCTTGTTTCCTGTTGGCTGAGGGCCAGCCTGGGCTACAGAGCCAAGACCCTGTGCAGCAGCACTTCAGCTCCATGAGCGTGGGAACTGTGCATTTAACTTGCCATTGTATCGAGTATGCTCTGCACAGAACAAATATTCCTGAACATGGGCACAAGAGAAGGGATGCAGCAGTGCCCACAGCCACGGTGGGGTGGGCAGGCAGGGTATGTAACTCAAGCATAGAGCGTTTACCTAGCATGCCTGAGGCCCTGGGTTTGGTCTCAAGCACCACCAAAAAAGAGACAAGTGGAGAAAGGATGTCTCTAAGTCTGGCGTGTCTGTTATGTCTTAGAAAGTTGGTTTTTTGTTTGTTTTTTGCTTTTTATTTTATGTGTATGAATGTTTTGCCTGCATGTATGTATGTGCACCATGTGTATGCAGTACCCACAGAGGCCAGAAGAGGGCATCAGATCCCCCTGGAATTGGAGTTATGGACAGTTGTTAGCTGCCATGTAGGTCCTGGGAACTGTACCCACATCCTCTTACAAGAGCAGCCAGTGTTCTAAACCTCTCAATCATCCCTCCAGTCCTGTATGTGGTGCCTTGGGGAGTGGGGCTGGGAGAAGCAGCTGTCAGCTCTTGTGACTGCCCTCATACTGTCCTTCTCCTTACAGAGTCACCCAGCACGGCAGGTGCAGGGGCCACAGGTGGCATCATTGGAGGCATCATTGCTGCCATCATTGCTACAGCTGTGGCCGCCACAGGTGTCCTCATCTGCAGGCAGCAGCGAAAGGAGCAGAGACTGCAAGGGGCAGAGGAGGAGGATGAGTGAGTGATGATGGATCCTTGGAAGTGCTTGGGAGATGGGTAACAGAGTTGGGGAGCACCCTGTGGGGGCTGAAGGAGAAAACCATCTGTAAAGGCTGTGTAGGACAGAGACCCCCAGATAACTGGGATTTTTTTTGAGAGGGTGGGGTTTTATCATCCTTTTTATGTATTCTTTTTGTTTTATTTGTTATTTAATTTTTAAAGATTTTTATCCATTTTTTAAAAATAATCTATTATTTTTATTTTATGTGTATGAGTGTATTGCTTGCATGTATGTAAGTGCATCAGTGTCATGCAATGCCTGTGGAGGTCAGAAGAGGGCATCAGATCCCCTGGAACTGGAATTATGGACAGTTGTTAGCTATCGTTGGGTACTGGGAATGGAACCCAAGTTCTCTGCAAGAGCAGCCAGGGCTCTTAACTGCTGAGATATCTCTCTAGCCCCATTTTATCCATTTTTATTTAATATGTATGAGTGTTTTGACTGCATTTAAGTGCCACCATGGGTGTGGTGTCTATGGAGGTCAGAAGAGGACATCAGATTCCCTGGAGCTGGAGTTACAGCCTGTTGTTAGCTGCCATGTGGGTGCTGGGAACCAAATCCAGGCCCTCTGCAAGATCAGCCAGTGCTCTTAACTGCTGAGCCATCTCTCCAGCCCCTTGTTTTTGTTATTGTTGTTGAGTCAGGGTCTCACTATGTAGCCTAGCACTTACTATGCAGAACAAGCTGGCCTCAAGCTGAGATCCACCTGCCTCTGCCTCCTGAATTCTGAGATTAAAGGCATGTGCCAACAAGCCCAGCCCACAACTGGGATTTTTTTTTTTTTTTTTTTTTTGGTCCTTTTGAGACAGGGTCTCCCTGTAGCCCCTACTGGCCTGGAACTCACTATGTAAAACAGGTTGGCCTTGAACTCACAGAGATCTGCCTGCCTCTGCCTCCCGAGTGCTGGGACTTAAGGTGTGTGCTACCACACCTGCCCGCAACTGGGATCTTAATGGATTGATTAGGAAAGATTTTTTTTCCACCATCCTATAAAGCACGGTATTACTGGTTTGCTCTAAGGAAGTCATCAAAGCCCAGGCACCGTCTTGTTGCTCTACCTTCCCCAGCTAGTGACTGTTTCTTTCGAATACAGTTTCTCACCCTTCCTTTTGGTCTACGTGACTGAGTGTGGGTAATTCCAGCACTCAGGAGGTGGCAGCAGGAGAATCAGAAGTTCAGGGTCATGCTTCCTCTGTTACACAAGCCCGTCTCAAAAACCAAAAAGTAACAAGAATGAAAAAAAAAAGGGTTTTTTAAAAAAGTTGTACAGGAGCAAGGGCATGGGTCAATTGGTAAGAACCTGAGTTCCACCCCCTAAATCCTGGTTGAAGAAAACCAAAACAACAACAACAAAAACCTGCTGGATGTGGTGGTGTGCACTTGTAATTCCAGTATTGAGGGTGCAGTGTCGGGAGGATTTCTGAGGCCCACTGGCTAGCCAGCCATAACCTATTTGGCCAGGCCAGTGACAGACAATTTAAAAATAATAAAGGTGGGGACCAGCAAGATGTCTCAGCAGGTAAAGGCGCTTGCGGGCAAGCCTGATGACCTAATTCAGCCCCTAGAACCCACGAGGTAGAAGGGGAGAACTGACTCCACAAGTGCCCCAGCTCTGTTTCATTATTTTTAATTTTGTGTCCTTGTGTGGGTCTGTGCACCTGAGTACAGGTGCCCTCTGCGACCAAACACATTGTAAACCGGGTGTTTTGGCACACACCTTTAATCCCAGCACTCGGGAGGCAGAGGCAGGCAGATCGCCGTGAGATCAAAGCCAGACTGGTCTACATAGAAAGTTCAGACCAGCCAGGACTACAGGAAGACCCTGACTCAAAAAACAAAATAAAAGGCTCTTTAGACAGAAGAATGATTTAGAAAGCTTGTTATACATCCAAACTCCAGTTTTCTTGTGGGAGTTGGTTGGTCTGGTAGTAACCTCTCAGAAATGGGAATGTGCTCCCCTTTTATTTTGAGACGAGGTCTCCCACATCGCTCTTGACATCTCAGTCCTCCAAATAGATATCACAGGTGTGTACCATCATCCAAGGTTGGAGTGTGTACCAGGACCACAATTTGCCCCTCAGAACGCATGTAAAAAAAAGACAGGTGAGGTGGTGCTTGCCTATAATCTCAGCTGTAGGGAAGAGGACGCAAGTGCATCCCAAGCCTCAGGGTGGTCCTCAGGCTTGCAAGATAATCACATTACCCACTGGTCCATCTCTCCAGACCATTTTTTTGTCTTGTTTTGTTTTTTTTTTGTTGTTGTTGAGACAAGATCTCCCTGTAGCCCTAGCTGGTCTGGACCTCCTTATGTAGACCAGAATGGCCTCAGTCTCACAGAGGTCCACCTGCTTCTGCCTCTGGAGTACTGGGACTAAAGGTGTACATGACCATGACTGGCCCATTTTGTTGTCTCTTTTTTTTTTTTGATTTAATTTTATTTTTATTTTTATTTATTTAGTCTTTTTGAGACAGGGTCTCCCTGCAGCCCCAGCTGTCCTGGAACTCACTATGTAGACCAGGCTGGCCTTGAATTAAAGGCATGCACCACCACACCTGGCTTTATTTTTATTTTATGTGTATGCATGTATTGCCTATGTGTAGGTAAGTGCACCCATGTCGTGCAATGCTGCGGAGGTCAGAAGAGGGCTTCGGATTTCCCTGGAACTGGAATTAAGGACGATTCATAGCCGCCATGTGGGTGCTGGGAGTCGAACCCGGGTCCTCTGCAAGAGCAGTCAGTGCCCTTAACCGCTGAGCCATCTCTCCAGCCCTATGTTTCTATGTGTATGAGTGTTTTGCCCACATGTATGTAAGTGCACCACATGTGTGCAACACCCCAGAGGCCATTGGATCCCCTAGAACTGGATTTATGGATTTATGGATGACTGTTAGCTTCCATGTAGATGCTGGGAACTGAACTCAGGTCCTCTGCAAAAGCAGCCAGTGCTCTTAACCCCTGAGTCATCTCTCCAGCACCCTGCCCCACATCCCCTCATTTAGTATTTTTTTGCAATCAGATCTTGCTATATAGCCTTGGCGGGCCTGGAACTTTCCCTTCTCATGCCTTAGAATGCAGAGAAGTACTGGGATTTCAGGTGTACACAACACCACTAGGCTCAGGGACCTTCTTTGAACAAGTGTCCTCAGAATAAATTCTTCATGTTGGGCTATGGGACACTGTACTGTTGCCTCAAGTGTTGCGCTTCCTTTTTCTTAATAAAAAAAAATTTTTTTAATAAGCCAGGCATGGTGGCATACTGTGGTGAGGGCATGGCAGCACACGCCTTTAATCCCAGCACTCAGGAAGCAGACGCAGGCCGATCTCTACGAGTTCAAGGCCAGTCTGGTCTACATAGTGAGTTCTAGGACAGCTGGGGCAACAGGTCTCAGAGACCCTGTCTCAAAAAAAACAATAAATAAATAAATAAATAAAAATAATCAATAAACCAAGCATGGTGGCACACTGGCTGCTCAGGCAGAGGATCTGGGTTCCATTCCCAGCAGCTACATGGTGGCTAACAATCATCCGTAACTCCAGTTCCAGCTGATCTGATGCCATCTTCTGGCCTCTGCAGGCATTGCACATGTGGTGCACTTACACGCAGGCTAAATACTCATACACATAAAATAAATAGACAAATATTTTTTAAAAGATTTAGTTTTAATTATGTGTATGCATGTGTGTCTGACTAATGTTATGTCCACGTAAATGCTGGTGCCTGTAATGGTGAGAAGAGGGTGTCAGATACCCTACAACTGGAGGTATAGGCGATTTTGAGTCATCCAACATGGGTGCTGGGAATCAAATCTAGGTCCTCTAAAAGAGCAGCAAGTGGTCTTAACTGCTGAATCATCTCTCCAGCCCCTAAATAAATTTTTTAAATTGGCTCTGGGCATGGTGCCACACGCCTTTAATCCCAGCACTTGGGAGGCAGAGGCAGGCAGATCTCTGTGAGCTTGAGGCCATACTGGTCTACATAGTGAGTTCCAGGCCAGCTGGGGTTACAGGGGAGACCTTGTCTCAAAAAGACCAAAAAATAAATTAATTTAATGAATTTTTTAAATTAAAAAAAATTTTTAAATTTATTTTTATGTGTCTTGAGTGTTTTGCCTGCATGTGTGTAAGTGCATCTGTGTCATGCAATGCCCACAGATGCCAGAAGAGCACGTTAGATTCCCCTGGAGCTGGAGTTGCAGATGGTTGTAGGCAGTTATGTGGGTGCTGGGAACTGAACCTGGATCCTGTGCAAGAGCAGCCAGTGCTCTTAACAGTTGAGCCATAGGAGCTAGAGAAATGGCTCAGCAGTTAAGAACACTGGTTATTCTTGCAGAAGACCCGGGTTCGAATCCCAGAACCCACATGGTGGCTAACAACTGTCTGTAACTCCAGTCCTAGGGGCTCTGACAGCCTCTTCTGACATGCATACACATAAAATAAAAATAATAAAAAAATTTTTAAAGGTTTTTTTTTTAAAAAAAAAAAAACAATTGAGCCATCTCTCCAGCTGCCCCGTCCCCCTTTTTTGAGACAGAGTCTCATTATATAGCCCCAACTGGCCTGGACTATAGACCAGGCTTTCCTCAAACTCAGAGATCCGTCTGCTTCAGTCTCCCAAGTGCTGGAATTAAAAGCGTGCACCACCACTCCTGGCTTTAAGATTTATTTTTGTAGCCAGGCAGCTCTCTGAGAGATTGAGGCCAGCAAGTTCCAGGCCTGGAACTCACTATGTAGACCAGACGGGCCTTGAACTCACAGAAATCCACCTGCCTCTACCCCCCAAGTGCTGTAATTTAAAGGGATGCACCACCACACCAGGCAAAAAGACTTACTTATGTGTGTGTCTTTGCAAATGTATGGCATGTGTATTTGGGTGGCCTCAGAGGCCAGAAGGGGGTGATGCATCCCCTAGAGCTGGAGTTGTGAGTGGTTGTGAGCCATCTGATGAATGTGCTGGAAAGTCAATCCAGGTCCTCTGCAAGAGTGGTAAGTGCTCTCAACCTCTGAGCCACCAGCCCCTTAGGTGTCACTCTCTCCCTTACAAAAGTTGGGGCAGGGGGTTGGGGATTTAGCTCAGTGGTAGAGCGCTTGCCTAGCAAGCGCAAGGCCCTGGGTTTGGTCCTCAGCTTCGGAAAAAAAAAAAAGAAATTGTGAAATTTGCAAGAAAATAGAACTGAAAAATATTATACCAATGTAATGAGGCACAGAAAGACAAAGAGGACGTGTTTTCTGTTATATGTGGATCCTAGCATCAAAT